TCGAGGTGGAGATGGGAGTAGGGGGAGAAAGGTTGAGAAAGAGTTTTAAAAAATATTTTTCTTATTTTTGGTAACACAATCAATCAAATATGAGAAAATTAAAAAATATAATTCAAAAAATTTAAGCACAAAGTATCAACATTCAAACTATTTTAACAATAATTTATCATTAACTTTTATTTTCCACCCCCTAACAATTTGAATTATGATGTTCAAGTAAAAATGGGGACATTTTTCCGGTAGTCCACTTGAAAAGGACCGGATATGGGCCCTGAATCTTCCACGTATTATAGAGGATATTCATTTCTACATAAATCGACCCTTCGAATTCGAATTACTCCCACGTCGCCATTTCTTGCTTTAGTTAGTTACAACTACTACACTTACAAAATGCTTCTTCCTCAAACCCTAGATTGCTTTCATTATCTGCTTCAAGAAAACAGAGGAATTTCAAGAGCTCTTTTGGTACATTTAGCTTTCTTTGGAAGCTAAAGTTTCTAAATTGTCTTTCCGTTACCGTATTGTGCATGTACTACTTAAGTGTTAATTTTTCCATTTTATTCTTAACATCCTTCTAATTTTTGAAAAGAGATGACGTTTTTGCATTTGAATTTTCATTGTCTTCTATTAATGCTTTCGAGCCTTCAAAAGCATAAGAATTCTTAAGAATTTTTGTGTGTGTTTTAGTGTTTACCATTTCAAAAATCTGCATGTATAAGAGTACTGTTGATCATGTGTAAGAGTACTGTTGATTCTGATCATGAATCTTTTTTCTTTTTCTTTTTTTCCAATTCCTGGGTTGTAGTTTTGTTTCGTTAATTCTGTGACTATTATAGTTAGAACGCTAACTCCCGATGTAGTTCCCCTGATCTGATAGTAGTAGGTAATTTACACAAGAAAAAGAGAACCTGTTTCTAGTTTTTAAATGAGGTTTTTGAGCGGTTGTGGATATGAGGCTTCAGATGTTGGAGATTAGAATTAGATACAACTCCACAATAATTTAGGGACCTCATAATTCAATTGTACTAAGGAAGTACAGAAGTCAGAATTCAATAGAATTAAGTGCAGATGTCATAGTCTTCGGAGCGGATCCAGAATTTAAACTCTGTGCGTTCAACCATTAATGTCTTGAGCGTTGAACCGATTATATTTTTAAAGTTACGGGTTCATATCCATTATGTATTACAATTTTAATGAATTTTTGCACATAAATTTATGCTCCGCGTCGAAAATACTGGGTTCAAATGAACCCGGTAGCAAAGGGCTGGATCCGCCCCTGATTGTCTCTATAATACATGGAAGTCAGCTTAGAAGTTCAATGGAACAAATTAAGAGTAGAAGCTCAAGTCAACTTAATTAAGTGCATATGTTGTTCTCTCTAGAACACAATGGTGATAATGTTTTAAGCTAATACGGGAAAGATTCTGCTTGATATGTAGATTTATGAATTGAATTGTATGACTCCAGATGATAAAAAGATGGAAGTGGTACTCAGTGAGCAAAACTAAAAAAAAAGAAAACAATCTTTTTAACATTAAAACACCTTGCCATACCTTATTTAGTTTTTACTTCTCATCAGAGGCCATTGATTTTTCAATGGGAATGTGCAGTTTTGTATGTTGATTTTGGTGATTTAACTTTTGAAGTGTGATGGTGTTGCAGTCATCAGCTTATGACATGTACTAAAATTTGAACCATACTGTTTTACTTGTATTCTCTAGTGAGTTGCTCTAGTGGTGAGCACCCTCGACTTCCAACCAAGAGGTTGTGGATTCGAGTCACCCCAAGAGCAAGGTGGAGAGTTCTTGGAGGGAGGGAGCTGATGGTCTATCGGAAATAGCCTCTCTACCCCAGGGTAGGGGTAAGATCTGCGTACGCACTACCCTCCCCAGACCCTGGGTTGTTGTTGTTGTACTGTTTTACTTGTATTCTCTTAAGCCAGTAAATTAATCATTTGTTTTTGTCTATGCATCAGGGTGGAATTTCTTAAGGAGATGGATTCATCTATTTGGAGTCCACCTGAAAATCAAGGTTTGATATTCTATTATCCTAATTGGATTTCATGATTATTATTTTTTTTTGGGTAGAAGAACTGCTGAAATGGATGGACAAATCCCTCTAGTTTAATGTCCTGACTTATTTAGTCTTTAATTCTGTCACAGATGAGAGCTGTTATCCAGCAAACTGTTGGCAGTATAACTTGTATTTCGATCCATGGCTTGGTAAGGTCATAAAATTCTCATATATAGCTCTTTTATTATTCTTTTTATTTGACATACCTCATCTATTTTAATTCACAGACGTGATCGAGCAAGATGCTTTAAATGAGATATCTTGTCTGCAAGTATTAAAGATACTAATTACGAAAGCTTATTCAGAAATTGCTGAACTTGAAGATGAAATACTGATGCTCCAGAGCCAACTGGTTTGTGCTTGTGCTGATAAGGGATCGTATGATATGTGCTTTGCTGTATTACATAAAAAGATTGATAACCTGGAAAGTTTGCTAAGGGCCTTAAAGAATGAGAATGAACAGGTTTGCAATATCACATGTTCTTATTTGTTGACTTTAGTCTGTACATGCTCTTTAGGTAGTACAAAATATTTGGTGCTTACTTATAAGTTATATCCACAGTGCTTGTGGCATCGGAACACTGTATGTCATATGTTACATATGGAACTTATGCTCAAATTACAAATGCCTATAATGTCTTCAACATGGCAAGTTCTTGAAGTCAAAAGAAAATACTATCATTTTTGTTGCAATTAGTGAATGATGAAGTTGTTGTACAATGGTGTTAGAAGTTCAAACCTGCCTGAAGAAGGTCTTACCAAAATGGAAGCAATAGACAATCACACAAAGGATATGAATACTGTAGAATTCAAGGATGGTTGCACTGTTCAGGCCTATAACACAGTCTTGGCATCTCTGCTTCAAGTGAGGAATCACCAATGAGAAAACCAAACTTTTAGAGTGTCTAAAAGTTCTTAACAATTAGAGTTCAGATTCCCAGAGGATTAGAAACAAAATGTCAATCAATCAACTACATCCCAATCCCAGTTACTCCATGTGTACCATGTTATGTGATGTATTTTGACTCAATACAGAGTTTAAGAAAGGCAAAGACTTTTGAAACTTGTGGTCTTAAACATGCCATTTAGCCATAACATTTGTGTGGTTATTAAAAGTTTCTCATTGAGGTAAAGTGAAGTTTGGTAGAACTATTTCCAAATATAGAAATGTATCATTTATTTTGAAATGGACTAATAAGGGAACAATGTCACATGTATTAGAACGGAGGGAGTAGTTGGGATCGAACTTATGAATCCCAGTTCAGATGTCGCTCATCATCCTTCTCGGTATTTAGAACAAAAGAGTTTGAATTTTTATATGATAAACTTTTCTCCTAAATTTAGCGGTTCAGATTTTTAGATTGCTAATATTCCTTAATGTTGCAGTTCTCAATTAAAGTCGAAGCACGAATAAACTACTTTAAGATGATGTCTTTAGTTGCTTATTTGAGACCTTTCAATCAGAAAAGGTGAAAAAGTTCTTTGACAGCCTGCAGAAACAACTCTGGAGAACAGACATGCTTCAGAACAAGAAGCCAAAGAGTATAGCAGCAAACGAACACACAAAGGAGTCAAGGCTGTTCAGATTCATGATAAGAAAACATCAAAGCAGTTTGTAAAGATAAACATGGCCAGCATTAAGTCTATATCTGGAATAAAGGGGCAAGAAGTTGTGTGTACTGAAAACTGATTGTATTATAGATGACTCATTGCCAAATCTGCTGAAATCTAAAAGGAATGACAGAAGCAAGTCACTAAAAAAGCTAAAGAGGGGAGGTGATGGTTATGGGGACAATACCATCAAGAAAACTCAACTGGCTGGAGCCAAAAGAGCTGCTGGTTTTGCAGATATTAGTGCAACTTCTCAGTTCCACTGGAGAAAGAGGAGTAAATTCAGTGGACCAGACATCCAAGAGAATAAAGATCAGAGAAATGTTCAGAATAGGTTGGTAAAATCACATGGAAGAACAAGTCACGAGCCTCCGGTCATTCACAGCTCTAGCTCCTATGATGACTCTAATGCTGATAATGTTAAAATTGTTTCTCCCATGTCATCTATTAGACCATCACCTTGGATTGAAGATATCTATAATATGACAGTGGTTCAACTCAGGGACATGGCAAATCAACTAAAAATATATGGGGTGTCTAAGACTCGGAAGGCAGATTTGCAGGAATTGCTTCGCTCTGAGCTGCAAGCTAAAGTTAGGTCATTATAGCAATCTCTCTATCTTCTTTTCATTTGCAGTGTTATGTGAAACATACATTGGAATGCTTACAATTTTTTTTTTTTTTTTTTTTTTTTTTTTTTTTTTGGTAAAGGAAAAGAGGAAAAAAATAGGCTCTACATGTTAAAGGGTGAACTAGCAAATGATGTTCATACCATCAACTGTACAGACAAACAAAGCTTGCTTACGTAGAAACGTGTGAAAGAATTTAGCAAATCCTTGATTGATTCTAAGAATCAGTTATCTTATTTTGTTCTTCAGGTTGCAACTTACAAGTCTTTCTCTTATAGTATTTCCTTGGTAATCGGGATTCGGGAATCTTTCCTTTTAAAGCTTTTAAAAATTTGCCAGTTCAGTCTTTTAACACTTCTGCAGTAGGTTTCTCTAAAGAGTTACTGTTAATATAAGTTTTGTACTACTACTTGGTACAGGGTTGTTTCTCACTACCCATGACTTGTAAACTTATGCAATATGCCATGAGACTGGAAATTAGGCCTAGTGCTGGCAAAATTTGATTTTTCCTTATCGCCAGTCCAACCCGCCAACATTACACGTCTTTTCCCCCCCCTGAAAATTACACGGATTGTGTGAGTGATTCTTTTTGATTGGATAAAATATGGGTTAAGCCCATTTAACCCGCACTAAAAGTGTCTACCAAACCCTCCTTTCTTTTTAACTTCTTCTCATATATGTCTGCGCTAAACTCCTCAACACAATAAAACCATTGTAGAAATAACAAGTTCCGTATTTTATTTGTGACAAATACTCCATACCATGTTCATGAAAGACTTAACTAGGATGATTTTGATAACTAAAACAATCCACAAATGGTTGTCTTTTTTTTTTGGATAGTGAATGAAGCGACCAGCAGGGAAATCTTGACATTTAAATTGTGTTGTCCCATTTCTTGTAGCCAGGAACCCATTTTGGACACATGGGACTGAAGTAACTGGACACGACCCTAGAGTTCAATAGCTCAACAAGGGGTGCATATTTCACACAAATGGGTGTCTTATATTGATTCATGGAAGCACCTAAGCTAATGCAGTAGTCCATGAGCTTGTCAAAAGTTCCAATTGCGACGACCCTGATTTCCAAAGGTCCGATGGATTTGTTAGAAGCCCGGCCCTCGCGGTAGAAGTAGTTTAGAGATTCTTCAATTGTGAGGCAACAATCTTCAGACTGAAGGACGTATTGGAGTAGAGCCATTAACACTCAGCTCCCAGAATATATAGGCCGTATAATTTATTTGTCAGCGTTTTGGATATGTATAGGCTTTCCAACCTTGTCCAAATGCCACGTGCGGTGTCTCCATCAATGATGTTATTTACCATATCACTTGATAAGTGCAACTTGATTGCAATAGCAGCCATTTCATCCAAGTCAGCCCAATCCTCAACTTTCATGGTATCAAGCTTTTTGGCACATCTAGTACCTTGTGTAATCCTTGTTGAATGAGCAAATCCCTCATTCTTCTTTGCCATGTTGAGAAACCGTTATCTCCGTTGAATTTTGATACCTCGTACTTTACTCCGGATATTTTTTTTCACCGAATATAGTACTACCAATAGTGAATAGTACTTCTGTGAGCGAGCAGAACTTGTGCTCTGATACCGGTTGTTAGGAATAAACTCTCTCAAAAATAATATTCACTGTAATAAAAGCGGAATAATAACGTAGCACCGAGATACGGTAATTAACAAGAATGAAAGAGTGACAACGACACCAAGATTTTTACGTGGAAAACCTTTTTGAATAAGGGAAAAAACCATGACCCCGAGATGAGCAACTGATATCACTATAGCAAGAAATTTTTACACTTTGTAGGTCCGAGTAAAATACTCCAAAAACCACTATAACACTCAAAAGAAATAACCCTCTTTTGATATTCCCACCTCACTACAATATCGCTCACTCTCTATTTTTCTCACAGACTATTTCTTATACCCTGTATGTGAAACTTCACTCTTTCTTTCTAACTCTCAGATATATTTTTCCTCTGAGATTGGTGTATAAAATGAGAGTTGAAGCTCTCCTTATACAGAGGGAATGACTGCCCCAATTAACAAATCGGAAGATTAGATCTCACTTTAAAACTTGCACTATGCAATTTGTAGTGCAGATTGGTTGCCAACTCTGAAACTTGCTCTTGCCATCATTAGATTCCATTTCTTTTCTTTTTTCTATTAATGGGTATGGACCCCATAAATCTCCCCTCCCCCAGACCCATTCACCTGAAGGAGGTAACATTAGACTTCTAGCTTGAGTGCATGCCGACAAGTTCTTTGCACAATTCGAACTTGTCTCTTGGTACCACCTTGGTCAGCATATCTGCGGGATTCTCACTTGTAGAAATCTTCAAGACTTTTAGAGATTCATTCTCTACCATTTCTTGGATCCAGTGATATCTCACGTCGATGTGTTTGGTCCTTGCATGGTACATGGAGTTCTTGCTAAGGTCTATTGCACTTTGACTGTCACAATAGACAACATACTCCTTCTGATGCAATCCAAGCTATTGAAGGAACCGTTTGAACCATATCATCTCTTTGCCAGCTTCAATAGCGGTAATATACTCCGCTTCAGTTGTAGAGAGTGTGGCACACTTTTACAACTTTGACTGCCATGATAATATAGCTCCCCCTGAAAATGTAAACAAATATCCAATAGTGGATTTTCTGTTATCAATGTCATATGCCATATCAACATCTGTATAGCCTTTCAAGATTGGATCAGAACCTCCAAAGCACAAACAATCTCCTATGGTACCTCTCAGGTACCTGAGTATCCACTTGACTGCTTCCCAGTCTTCTTTTCCAGGATTTTCAAGAAATCTGCTAACAACACCAACTGTGTGAGTAATATCAGGTCTAGTGCATACTATTGAATACATCAAAATTCCGACGACATAGGAATAAGGAACTTTGGTCATGCTTCCCTTTTCCTCCATTGTTGTAGGACACATCTTCTTGCTTAACTTCAGATAACTAGCAATAGGTGTGCTGACTGGATTAGCATTCTTCATGTTGAAGCGTTCCAGTACGCGTTCAATGTACTTCTCCTAAGACAGCCACAACTTTCTGCTTGTTCTCTCTCTAACTATCTTCATACCTAGAATTTGTTGTGTTGGGCTCAAGTCCTTCATATCAAATGACTTGGACAAATCTCCCTTCAACTTTGCGATCAGCCCCTTATTTTTTCCTACAATTAACGTGTCATCCACATACAACAACAAAATAATAAAGTTGTTGTTAGAAAATCTTTTGAAGTATACACATAGATCAGAATATGTCTTTGTGTAAGTTTGACTTTTCATGAATGAGTCAAACTTCTTGTACCACTGCCTTGGTATTTGCTTCAAGCCATAAAGACTCTTATTCAGTTTGCACACCATGTGTTTCCTTTCAGCTACTTCAAATCCTTCTGGCTGCTCCATATAGATCTCCTCTTCCAAATCTCCGTGAAGAAATGCAGTTTTCATGTCCAACTGCTCCACTTCAAGATCTAAGCTAGCTGTTAAGCTCATGATTGTTCGAATAGAAGTCATTTTGACAACAAGTGAGAAACTTTCGTCAAAATTAATACCTTTCTTCTGCTCGAAGTCTTTTACCACCAATCGAGCTTTGTATCTGATCAGTTTTCCATTTCCATCTTTCTTGAGTTTAAAGACCCATTTGCATTTGGGTGGTCTTTTACCCTTTGGAAGTTCAACTAGATTGTATATGCCATTTTTCTGTAGAGATTCCATCTCTTCTTGTATGGCTTTCATCCACTGGTTCTTTTATGGATGGGACAACACCTCCGTAAGACTTTCTGGCTCCCCTTCATCACTGATGAGGACATACTCTGTGGAAGGGTACCTACATGACTCTACCCTTGGCCTCTCTGATCTCCTCATAGGTTGAGGTTGTTCTTCTTCCTTAGTGGGGTGCTCCACTTGCTCGACACCATCATCAAGTTGCTCCTCCTGCTCAATAACTTCATCAGGTTGCCTCCCCTGCTCGGCAACCTCATCGGTCGAACTTTCTGCACTTGTGAGATAGTTAGAAGAAGAAGGAATGGTAACAAGGTTAGGGATTATACCATTCTTTGTCTTCTATAATTGATCACCTACAGCTCCAACTTCACTTTCTTGAAAGATTATATATTTGCTTCTAATGACCTTCTTCTTTGTAGGATCCCACAATCTGTACCCGAACGCTTCATCTCTATATTCGATGAATATGGACAGAACATATTTATCATCCAGCTTTGTTCTCTGCTCCTTTGGTACATGTGCAAAAGCTCTGCAACCGAACATCTTTAGATGTGAGTATGACACTTCATTGTTGGTCCAAACTCTCTCTGGGATGTCAAACTCCAATGTAACTGATGGACTCCTATTGATTAGGTAACAGGCTGTCTGAACTGCTTCACCCCAGAATGACTTTGGCAGTTTAGCCATTCTGAGCATGCTTCTCACCTTCTCAACAAGGGTGCAGTTCATCCTCTCGGCTATGCCATTGTGATGTGGGGTTCCAAGAACTGTCTTTTCATGTCTGATCCCATGACTTGAACAGTACTCTTCAAATTATCTTGAAGTGTACTCACCTCCATTGTCACTTCGGAGACGCTTTAGCTTTTGGCCTGTCTCCTTTTTCACCAGAGAATGAAACTCCTAGAAAACTTGAAACACTTGATCTTTGATTTTCAAAATATAAACCCATAATTTTCGTGAAGCATCATCAATAAAAGTAACAAAATATTTGTTAGCGCCCATCGATTCAATTTTCATTGGACCACAAATATCAGAATATACCAAATCAAGTATATTCAATTTTCTTTCAGACGATGTCTGAAATAAGACTCTATGCTGCTTACCAAATAAACAATAGTCACAAAGTTTTACCATTATACCTTTGGCATAAGAAATGAGTGATTTCTTGGCAAGAATCTGCAATCCCTTCTCGTTCAAATGACCCATTCTTTTGTGCCACAAATCTGCAAAAATCTCATCTTGTGCCACGTTTAATTCACCTTGGCATATTTTTGTATTTGTCCAGTACAACGTGCCACGAGCAACTCCCTTCGCAATTACCAGTGATCCCCTGGTGAGTCTCCACTTTTGATTTGCAAAATAGTTATCGTATCCATCTCGGTCTAAAGCAATTCCTGAGATCAAGTTCATCTGCAAATCAGGTACATGCGGCACGTCCTTTAGAACCAATGTGCATCCAACATTTGTCTTGATACAAATGTCATCAATCCC